AAGAAGGGTTACATCAAAGGAGACAACACCAAGCACATTATGCCGAAGTTCTTCTTTTCATATTAACAACAAGAGCATCAAAAGATTGAAGTCACGCAAATCCGTTCACAAGATAATCTGCCATACCTCTTTAGCAAAGCACTACCAAAGGTAACATTTCATAAGCTTGTTCAAGGAATTGGTATGTATAAACTTTATGAGTTGTAACATTGCTAGTTCTCTTTGGAATTATGTCAAACTCAGGGAAGTATCCTAAAGTATACTTACTTGATCTTAATGTACTCTTTTTCCCTACGATTAGGAGCATTTTTCCCATTGGGTTTTTACTACCTAACAAGGTTTCGACGAAGCACCCACCTTGGGTTGATCATATCCTTGATGACGTCCCGTAGACGTTTTATTTGACTTTGCATTTCTCATGCATTTTTCCTTAGACTATGGATTTTGTCCATACTCGGGTTTTTACCATAGCCTTAAGATTTTTTGTGAGACTTACTTCCTTATGCAAGTTCCTACATTATTTGAATAGCATGTCCCTATAATTAGTGCCGACGAGTCGACTTCCTCAACTACTACATGGTGCCGAATCTACTTGAGTATTTACACACTCAAAGGGGGAGTGTTATAAACTTCTTATTTAAGTGTGATTGTGTAAATCTCAAATTAGATTTTATTCTAGTTATTCTACCCTATTAGGACTTGTACTCCTTGGAGGAGAAGGATTTCTTCTCTCTCTTATTACTATAAATAAAGGCATTGCGTAGGGGAATAACACATTCTCTACACAACCCTACAAACACATCTCTCTCTATATTGTCTTAGTGTTGCCGGCCCTCCTCTTCTTGTCAGTTAAATATAAGCCACAACAAAACTGTTATTTTGCTTACATTTACACTACCAATTTAATTATTGAGATTTGCTTACGGGTTTCCCTAAAAAATAAAAAATAAAAAAAATAACTGCTTATGAGTGCATCTAGAATTTTTTTTTTTTTTTATAAAATATTACATTCATATATGGGTACATTTTACATATAACAAATTGGTACATTGATATAAAAATGTGGGTACATTTCACATACAAAAAATTGGTACATTTTATACAAAAAAATGGGCACGTTTTATGTAAATTAAATGGGTACATTTTATATAAAAAAAACAGGACGTACATTTTATATAAAAAACAGGAGGTACATTTATATATATATATATAATAAATAAAATTAAAAAAAATAAAAACAGGAGGTACATTATATATATATAAAACAAAAAAAAACAATGTGTACATTTTAGATTTAAAAAATAAATAAATAGATTTTACATTAAAAATTGGATACATCTTACATAAAATGAATGGGTACATTATAAATAAAGTACGGGTAAAAATAAAAGGTTTAAAAAGTTATGAGTTTAAATAAAAGTTTTAAAAAATACGGGTACAAAAAGAAATTAATATATGGGTAAAAATTAAAACTGAAAAGAAACTTGATTCAATTTAAAAAAAAAAGGTTGCAAATTAAAAATGGGTACAAATTAAAAATAGAAATATATGATACAAAGTTTAGCAATAAATATAAATATACCAAATGTAATGTTCTAACACTCAATGAATATATTTAGAAATACAATTTAATTGAAAATAAATAAATTTAATTATCTTGACATGTAAATAAATCTAAGAACCTTGATTATAAATTAAAAAGGAATAAAGTTTTAATCAATGAAGTAGAAAAAAATAGGAATGAGAACTTAACTTCTTATAATACTTGGAAGACACGTGTGAATTAATTTGATTCTCTATGTATTAGTAAACATACTGTAACTGAAAAGTGAAAACAAGCAGATGAAACTGGAAAAGAAATTTACAAAGTGGAAAGTTCGAAATTAAAAACAAGTTTAAATCATAACGAAATATAGTACAATTTGCATGAGCACATGAGTGTGCAATACATTATTTTACCCAATGTTGTGCACTTACTCGTTTTTATGGCCATGAATCATTGACAGATAAACATCATAAAGTCTGCTCGTGCTCGGTTTTTGAACGTCTTAAAAATCATAACATCAACTCCATGCATTATTGCATATAAACCAACGTACAAACGGGGACCTCCAGTAATTTAGGAAATAATCAAAAACCTACCCCAAGATTCACGTGGCATGTTTCGTTATATTTGTTACTCGCCAGCCTTCTTAGGTGGATTACCACCCTATTAATTGTCTTTGGATGAAACTGAATTACGAGAATTGTGAAGTAAATAGATTAAAGGAAATATTTTTGTTCAAGACTCTCAAGTGATGTTGATACTCACCACTCTGTTTATCATCGTTGGATGAGTTTAAATCTCAATATTTATGTAGTGTAATGGACATAAATTTCAAATTTTAAACTCATCAAATAATAATAAGTAGGATGGTGAGAAATACCACCACTTGAAGGTGATGAGCAAAATGCACTATAGATTAAATTATACCTATTTATAAAAATATGTTGGGGCCCAAAAATATTACACACCAACCCAACCAAGTCTTAAGGCCCAATTGTCATGCAAAGCCTACATTCAAACCCAAACACATGCCAAGGCATGGGATCGACGAAGAATATATTCACAAACATACCATGCCACAATGATTAAGTTGGATATTCAAGCCATGCTCATGCCTATTCATCATGCCATGCTTCCTTAGCCACAATTCATGCTAAGCCTAAGTCACATATTCGGGGCCTGTCAAGTGGATTGTGGTGTGGATGGTTATGAAAGGTTATCAAGCCTACATGGAATCGGGGTCATGAAAGACTTTGGGCTGCTTGGGAGCCTAAAGATCCAAGCTCATACCCTTTGTGTTTCACACATGCATCATTGAGAGAGAACTAGCCTAGTTTACTCATTTTCCTAGTAAGCCAACTTCCTTAGTTAGGACTAAACTAAATTCCTGCATTAAATGCATGTTAAGCCCAGCAAGTCAGGCATTTAATGCTAACTTTCCCTTCCCAGCTTGCACAGACAACCAACGCGCAAAAGCCATGCGGCGCACTACCAGAAGTAGCGCCTGCGGAAGGCCACCCTGAGAAAGCTGTGTCTCGGGAAGAAGCAATTTGCAGGTTTCAACAGTTCAGCTACCTTACACCAAAAGGGGAATAATAGGAGGCCTAGGGAGAAAGGAGGGGAAGACCAAGCCACAAAGAGAGATTCCTTTGAAGCCTAGAGAAAAATCCTTCACTTACATAAAGCGGGGGGAAGCCATTATAGAGGGGGGATTGGAAGAACAGGGTGAGATATAGAGATAACGTAGTGAGAGAGAACCACCCAGGAAGAAGCCCAGAGAGTTCCATTTAGTCAAGAAGCATACTCCAAGCCTCAAGCATCATCATCCATGCAATCTCAGTAACTCCCACAACCTTCCATCAAACATCTCAGCCATTAGAAGCCTCACTATCACCCTGGAAAGCCCAAATCATGCAGCTAAGAATGTCATGCAACCATGCAAACCCTTTCTCTCTCATGTAAACTGATAATCTTTTAGCTTCCACACCACTCTTCACTTGAGCAAGTCATTATCTTGATCATTCATGCTATCTTCAAGTTGTTGATGTTACCGGGGTATTTCCAAATAGAAACTAACTCTTTTGAGATATCCGGGACTTGTTACGAATCCGTACCAAAGAAGACAAGAGGACGTTCTCAAAGCCCAAATTCACCTCAACCTAAAAGTCCCCCAACAAAATATAGTGACTTATTAGTGATGTTCACCACCACTTTATGATTGTGAGAAAAAATGCACGACTTTTTGGAGAGAAATGACATATTTCATTCCTAAAACGGGGCAGCAAACACATGCAAGATTGAATACAAATTAATCACACAACATCACATGTCGAGTTTGCTCTTCAAAGGAATTTCTAGTTTCTAGGCTCATTAGGGTTGTGGCTTAAGTTGTGTAAAACTTAAATCCAACAAGGCTAAGCCAGCCATAGGATTGGCCACACAATGGATAGGTTTGACCACCACCTTCTCTTCATGGTTAGGTCTTCATCCCAAAATAATGCTTTGTAAAGGATTTACTTTTACCCCTTCTCTTCATTCCTTACACTATGTTTATACATCACGTGATGCATAAAAGTGAAGATAAAAGAGTATATCTCACTGAAGGAAAAAATCCATCAACGAATACGTAGATTGGTAGACTGATGGCATTTTATTTTGTTAATAAATCCACTAATGAAGTTCGACCAAAAAACAAATATAAATAAAGAAAAAAAAATCCATCAACGAATACATAGATTGGTAGAGGCATGCATGCAATTGCAGTTTCTATGTGTTGTAGTTTGCGACCATACATAATATGTAAGTTGAGTTGGTGTCAATGGGTCCAATTGGGTTTTTTTTTCTTAAAGCATGATAAGGGACGACGCAGACAACACATGCATCATCGTACCGCCTAGGGAAAAGTTGTGGACCTTAATTTCATGATATGGTGTAAGTTAGGTGCATGGTTTAATATGGGAAATTTAACGAAAAACATCCGGTACTGTTTATTTTAATGAAAAACCACATTTTTACACTAAAAAGTCAATCCTGATACTATTCACTTTACCCTTTATTTTGTCCTTATCATTAAAACTCAAAGTTTTCAAACCTTTTTCATTAGTTTTCCTTTTAATTTTTCATTGACAGTAGCACGTGCTACTTTTATCTAGAGATGCAAGTTATTTACATTCTAATTTTCATACATGCTGGAAATTTTTCTTGGTAAATTCTTAAGAGGGTTCTGCGTACAAAAAATTAAAGAATAAATAAAATATTTATGATTTACTATCCCTTCAAACGATGGAAAGTTGCAAGTGATCATTTACCACAGTGGTGGAAATGTGTTGTGCCCTTGCATGACGGCATGAGTTTGAACCCCGTCGGTGTCTAATCTAACGTACTAACGCTCTCTCGACTAAAAAAAAATAAAAAAAACAAAAAGAAGAAGAAAAAAAAAATGGAAAGTTAAATGTTCAAAAGAATATAGCTGGATTCATCCTTCATAGCTTGAATATAGCAGTGTTGGTTGCTTCAAGTTTTTAATCAAAAATTCAAATATTCAAGCTATGGAATATGGATGGATTTGATCTACAAGTTTCATACATACTTCTCGATACATTCCACGATGCTACTCAACATTCCAGACTAGGTACTAAAATTTGAAAACTAGTGCCAAGTACAACAAACTGATACCTAAGCTTTACATCCCTAATCTGAGAAGCAAACTTTAACCACTTCCGTTGTGCGCGGCCTATGTCACGGGAGCCAAAGCTAGCTTCTCAAAATCACTCCGAGCGCTCTGAATGCCTTCATTCATGGAATCCATATGCATTTTCAATCTAGCAATCTCATGGTCTTTGGCCTCCATTTCCGACTTCATTGATGCATGTTTATCCTGCAACTCGATTATTTTCTTCGCAATATGCTCAGCATCTTCGACAAGTTTGGTCTTCTCATGAGAATGCTCCATGATCATGTGTTCAGCGTCTTTTGACTCAACCTGAAACCGTCCATGCCTGTCTTTAACAGACAGCAGATCATTCACCCGCCCACGTAGAACTGTAACATTAAACCCATACTTCTCCAAGTCAAGAAGACTCTCCAAAATGCTACCCAAAACATTTCGATGGTCGTCGAACTGCAGCCTGGATATTTTATCCGCCAGACTGGAAAAGGTTATCATGTTTCCAATTGCTGAACCCTCGCGGTACTCCTCTTTGCATTCAATCAAAGGCCGGAAATGAGGATTTTGGGGAAACTTTTTGAACACTTCCAATGTTTCAATAGTCTTCCACACAGGGGAGCTCTTAACAAATGGAAACACTTGCTTCTCCTCTGTCCCACTGCCACTGACTGCAGCAACTGCGGGAGATTCCGTTGCTACCTCGACTGGTCCTTTTCTATCACTATGCTGGTCGACATTCATATCAGGGGATGGTCCTAGAAAAGAAAAACATATATAGTCAAACTAATGGCTACAACAGAAAAATAAATTAATATATGACGCAACTTACTTGATTCACCCACGCTCGCAGAATGCTGCATCCCTCCAAACCACATGGATAGAGGTCTGTCATCATCATCTGCATTCTCGGATGCTATCAATGAAGCTTCATTTATCATGCACCTTCCAGGAAGTTCAGCCGTTTTTCTTTTAGAGGCATCTTGTGCATCTAAACAAATTCCAGAAAGCGTTCCAGTTCAAGGGGGAAGAACCAAGGTCAATAGAATAATAAGAAATATTTTGGCACTACTTCTCACTGACAAAGTTGTTATACAGCAAATAGAAAAATGTTTAGCTACACTACCTTGTTGACAATTAAATGGTGTGCAAATGTGAAAATAGCTAATTCTTTTCTAAGTCTCGAATTTCCAGAATTGCTTTTCAAGTTCTGGTTTGCTGCATGTCATTCCTTAATGCTTTTCAAGTTCCTTACCCAAAACTTATACGACATACTCAGTTTATCCCTTATACTGAAGAGTGATTGTGCTTCTTATATGTTGTTTTTTATTTAAACTTTGTTGTTTTCTTCAATGAAAAAGTTGAGAAATTCTTCACTGAAAGGCTGAAAATGAAATCAAGTTGCACAATCTCAAACCTGTAGGATCCGTCCCTCTCAGCACACGCAAAGCAGCTTCCTCAGGCGTCTGATCATTCGCAACATTTTTGCTGGCGACATTTCCTGAAATATTCTGCCCCTTCACTGCAGTTCAAAACCATGGTTATTTACCCGAGAGTTTAATGGTCAAGGTAAGAACTTTTTTCTTTAGGGATAAGCTGGCCTATAGGTTTACTAATAGCTCCATATATGTTCCATCTCATTTCAACTTGAACAATGTTATCCTTATCTATTTCCCCACTTGTAGCAAGGCAGTATAAGGAGGATACCACTGGTTCAACTCATATTTGAGTAGTCATTATATCGCAACTTGGTATTTCTATCATTTGTGAAAATAAATAAATACAAATAACTGTCCAAAATTGCCCTGCAATTGTCCATTCATCCTCTTCCAACAACTTAATAGGATGTTAGACAAGCATCTGCATAATTCCAATACATTATCAGGTTCACATGGGATCGCATTTTCACCCAAATCATTCTTTCTCTAATTGCAAAATGTAGGATTAACATTCAAATTTTAACTAGAGGACCAAATTGACACAAATATGATAATTAAATGGTTGACATTGTTCAAATTAAAACCAAAGGGACCCAACTGAAATACATTGAAAAGCAAGGGCGTAAAATGGACTTTGACTGAATCTAGAATATCAGACAATGAATTTAGTTATAAGGAATTTTTACCTCCTTCTGAAGCTCGCGATCTTATGACCACCAACTTTCGAGGCCTGCCTCTCTTCCTTTTATGACTGCTTCCTCCAGCTGGTTGCTGCTTAAACTCCTGCTCAAATACAGACAAACACCCATAGGCAATACCATTGAGCGGAAAAACAAAAAGAAGTACACAAAAGATAACTTTTCACTGAGGACCTCTCACTCCATGTCCATGATTATACCATGTCTGGAAAAGTAACCAGGCTACGGAGCAGGTTAGCCAAAATTGAATCACTGCCAAGTTCAGCTGACATAACCTGAGTGTTAATAGCTTATTTTAGAGAATATCCAATGTTGCCATTGTTGATAGCTAAAATCCCTAATGTCTTACGTTCCTCACTTTACATAATTGAATGAAATATTAGATAAATAATTACATAGAAACTTCATTCCTATGAAACTAGTTTTTTTTTTTTTTTTACTTGACTTATATCCTTTTCTCTTTAGTAATTTGTTATTTGACTCATCAAATTAAGTTTTGTCAAGCTAAGTACGACTAACACTAACAACAATCACTTTTCCTACAAGAAGTGATCTGGCTAATCACTAAGGAGTTTGATTAAAAACTACTCACTACTCCTAAACTGTCTTTTGACTAATTTGTGTCAATTTTTTGTGTATTGCCTACCATGCTTTTTTCTTTTGCAGGATCATTTGCACTCTTCCTCTGATCTTTCACTTGCAACTCTTGATCAGGTAGCTGAGCCGGTATTTCAGCCAGTGAACCCTCCTTGCCCTTAGTTGTTGACCTAATAGTTTGAGGCCCTTCAGCTTCTTTAATATTACCCTCCTTCTGAACATTTTGTCCAGCCAAAGAAACACTTGCGGACTCTTCCTTACCTGCAAATAATAGATAACCAAATTACTCTCAAATAGGAAACTAAATCAGTGCAGGGTCTACTGATGAACATGTATACCCTTTTCTCTCTTTTGGCTAGGCAGTGCACAGATATACCCTGAAAATTATGAAGAACCAGGATGTCTTTCAAATAAGAAGCCTAACCAGTGTGCATGGTCTACTGATGAACATATATACCCTTTTTTCTCTCTTTTACCTGCGTCTGGGGTGAATCGACTTCCAGCATGAGATTTTGTGCGCCTTCCTTTACTTGCTACAGGATGAATCCACTGGCTATTCACTTCACCGTCATTCTCTTGCTTAGTCTTCTACACATAAAGAATATGTTGATCTTAATTCATAAACACTGGTTCCTGGGAAAACAAAACCGAAATGATGACTTTCATCATTGCCCATCAAGAAAGGGGAAGAAAGACAACATTCCGTCACATGTAGTTTACTCAGGATCCTTTTTTTGTTCCTTTCTATATCATGTTTTAAGACATAGCATTGCTACTAATCACTGTAATCAATCATTTAGGCCCAAGAAAAATGTGTGTGCATGTGCGCATCCTCTATGTGTGTCACCGATTTCATGGAACCCACAAACATCATGTCATGAATGGCAAGTTGCATCACATGAATGATACAATCAAATAAAGGTTAAGAAAAGACATTCAACTCACGACATTATTTTTCCCAAGCACGCTCTCTGTTTTAAAAAACTGATGGCGTACAACAGGTTTCCTTGTGCGTCTTGTTCCCTTAACTCCTGTGCTCAGTTGAGGTAATTCCTGGGGCAATTCTTTATTGTCGGGCGTTTTGCTCAATTGATGTGCTGTAGCGGATACTGTGGGCTTAGCTGCTTTTTCGTCCTTTAACTTTTTAACTGGACGCGAGTCTGTAGCACTACCATTACGGGCTAACATCTTTTTGCCCTTGACACTTAGTGGATAACTTGGTTGCTCTGTTAAATTCTTCCCTGAATTAGTTGATTCAGGATTCTCCTCTGCAGCACTCGAATTTTCTAGTTGAGTAGCCACTTGAAGATTGTTAGGATCTTTTGGAGCAGGCAACACATGCTCTAATTCTTGTGGAGTATCTGAAGCAGCCAATACATCCTGGAACGAAATTAAATTGATTATTTACCAACAAATAAATCTAATCCCTGAAAGACACTGGCTAAACTTCAACTAAATCAAGAACTAAGTATTTTTCTTTGGCATACTTCATGACCATTAACCAAAACACAAGTGATTACTGTACATTAGGTTCATATTCTACAGGAGGCATCATTCCATATATAAAAATGTAGTAAGGCTCTTTTTCGATTGTATGCAGAGTGATTTCTCCCAAAGTACTACAAAACAATATTGAACCTTTCCTTAATTGAGATATCAATAACCCCCCCCCCCCCCCCTTCTCTTCTCTTCTCTTCTCTTTTCGACTCGGAAACATTAAATAGAAAAGGGATTATACGTTCAATGCACCAACCAATTGTCATCTTATCTCTGAGAAACTAGTTCCCTAACCTTAATCCTATGCTTAAAATGACGGTGCACATCCTCTCAGCCAGAACATTGGATGGAAACAACACCAGCCCACCTAGAAAAAATCACATAAGGGGGAGGGCGAACATGCTGAAAATTTACAGCATCTTTCTGAACCCTAGCATCTGAACTATCATACTTCACCAGATAGGTATTATCCTAATTTTCTTTTACAACAACATTTTAATTCTTAGGTGCAAGTGATATATTCACGAACACACGAAGCCTATGAAACCCACAAACAACTGCATTTTGTCATTAACTGAGTTCAGAAACCTATCAAAAGAACCCACTAGAAACAAGAAAGGGGGAAGAGCATTGTAGTTACTTCCCTTCAGATAATTTCATTGCATAGACCCATAAGTTTCGAACACATAAGCATCGAATGAATTGATCAAATTCCAAAACAAAGCAAGACTATCGATCTCATTTACGAATATCTTCGGACTTTTACATGCATGAGTAATGCACCAAAAATATGGAAACGAAATGAAAGAAACGGCAGATTATCTTAAAAGGAAAGAAAGAATTAGCGATTACCTGCTTGTTAGGCCGAACCCATTCGCCATTAACCCAATCCTGATGCAATCTGAGACGTTCTTTCTGAAATTCGATCAAATCCGGGGGGTTCGTGAAGACGACGCGGTACTTGGAATTGCTGTCAAGAGCCTCCCCTACGACCCCAGTCCACCACCCATCTCTGTAATCCGCGTCCACAACATCTCCCACATCGAAATTCCGGTCGGCGAGCTGCGGCGGCGTCGGCCTCAGGTTCTCCGAATCGACGTACTCCTTGAGCTGCTTAGACCCGTCTTCCGTGACCAAGTTCTTGTACTCGACCAACGCCCTCTTCCTCTTCTTTGAGGCGGAATTTGTGGGGCTTGTGACAATGGTGGCTCTGAACCAGGCGCCTTTGAACCCTTCCTCGTCGCTCTTCACTTCTACTTCTGTGCCCACGCTGAACAATTGGAGCTGCTCTTCTTCTTTGACCTCCGTGCCCGCCATTTTTGTTGGATGGCAAAAACCCTAAAGTAGGCCTCTTCTGGGTACTTTGGGTACTATAGGCTACTTTCTTTACCAATCTTAGTGGTCAAACCTGTCACTATTGACATATAAACACTTTTACCACCACTTACTGCTGCCCTGTTTTAATAAGCCTGGCACTGTCACTGTGCACAAAACCCAGGTTTAATTTCTCTCATCGGGATTCTTTTTACCTCAAAAGAAAATGCTAAATAGAGTCTTCCAAAGTTTTCTGATTTGGGATTCCGAATCGAGTTTCATTCCTAATGTGCATGTATGTTGCGTGATAAGTTTCATGTGCAATTCTAACAAAATCATTGTTTATGCATGAACGAAATTTCATAAATTTACTTAAGTTTCAACCGTTACATGCATGTACGACGATTGATAATTATCATATTCATTAAGAATAAACGTTACTTATTTTCGCATGAGTGAAATTTCAAAATTTTCTCCTTTAAGAATGTAACTAAAACAACTTAGGAGACTAAATTATGGTACCAAATCAAACACTAGGGCAACTTCAGGTTTCTCAACACCCATTTTTCTTTGGCTTACAAATGTGGATTATCTCTATATTGTGGGTCTGCTAGTTATTCTACATCATTTAGGCTCCAATTTTTTTTTATTTTTAAATCTATTAAGTTTCTCTAAAAATTTATGTCACTTAGTACTACGGTATAGTAGTGTTCATTTTTACCTGTAAGTGAGAGGTTTTAGATTCGATTTTCGCCAAATGCGAATTTGAACCATATTATTAGTATCTCATTATTAGGCTTAGCCTATCCCGTTCGGCCGTTTTCATCAGTATAGATAATATCGTTTGTTTATAAAATTTAAAAAAAAAAAGTAAAAAAGTTGCCCTAAAAAATAATATTACATGATTAAAGTCTAAAACACAAGAAAAGTGATATTCACACTCATTTTTACTTTTTACACATCTTTATTAACCTTTAGTCATTGATTTTTTTAGCTTATTCAATGTGACGGCCAAAAATTAAAAAGGTATTGAGAAGTAAAAAGAAATGCATGAATAGTACTACCCAACTTGCAATTACTACGCATTATGCATAATGCATATATGTCGAAGAAAGTAGCCTATAACAGGCATTATGCATGTTTGTTGAAGAATGAACGCTTTCCAAACCAAAACGAAGCCCCAAACTTTACTCTCCCTCCAGCTGACGGCCCTACGCAGCCACCTTTTCAACCTTTCTTATCCTCCTGTTTCTTTCCCGCAATTGCGATGGCCCTGATTCCCTTCGGGGAACGTTGGAACAACCCACCTTCCACGAGTGGTGTGAATGTAGCTTTGTCTCTAGGCATTTTGTCCTTCGCTGCAATTTCAGTGGCACCGATTCCTGTCAAGGAACGGTGGAGCAACACACCATCTACGGGTGATGTGGATGGAGCTTTGCCTCTGGGCTTTTTGGCCATGTTTCAAGGTATTATACCTCTGATTTGGGGCCTTTTGCTCAAACTCTTCCAAAACTTCGAATCGACCCTCCAACCACTCACACCCGTCACAGCCATCCACTCTAGATTTGGTGGATCTCATCTCAACACTAGTTTGCTGCTTTATTTGTGCTTCCCTCCAATCGAAGTCAACTATATGTTTTCACCCTACCAAGGTCTGGATCTCTTTGAATAGGTGTTTACACCACATGACCTTTGTTGCTACTACTTGGTTCAGGGCATTCACATGCCTATTGTATGTTTATTTTCGACTGGGAATTGGAACTGTGGCGATCACTCTCTAAAACTTTAAAGTCACAACTTTATTTTTTGAACCTCAAAATTCACTCCACATTATCTTTTTTGTATTAATTATGTTTAAAAGCTGTCAAAAATGCGTATGTGGTCTAAAAAATTGAATATGTAGTCTAAAAAATGAATATGTGGCATAACATGAAGCGAATATAAAAGCTAAAAATGAAGTTTATGTACAGAATAAATAGCCAATTAGCACACATGGTTTGCGCATGCGTGCACATTGACAGCATATTCCACTATACTAATGTAATATTCTTATATTATCAATATAGTAGAAATACATGGTTAACATATTACTAATACACCAGTCAAGCACATTGTTCAAAAAAAAAAAAAAAAAAGTCATGCACAACCCATTCGCACAAGAGCGGGTATCCGCATAGAGATTTTCTGATAGCTGTAATTACAATTTAGACCATCTCCAAACCTGGGCTAAAAGCCAAATTACCCCTCCAAACACTCTCCAACCCATGTTAAAATTTTAGGCTCAATGCCAGATGTTATTTCTGGGCCAAATATCCCCCAGTTTTCCCCCTATCGGAATTTAAATTTTTTTAGATTAAAATGTTCATAAAATTAATTTACAATAATCTACATATTTATTTTTTATTTTTTAAATTGATTTAAGAAAAAAATTAGCCTAAGTTCATTCTTTAATAATTCCGGGTTAAAATTTTAGGGCAAAATGATTGGAGCAGAAAAGATGTTTCTGGGCTAAAAGTCAAATTTTCCGGGCTAAAAAATTTGGCTTTTAGCCCAAAGGTTGGAGATGGAGATGGTCTTAGCAAATAAGTGGAAAGCCCACTTATTATATGAGTCCCTGTACCAGTTTCTTTAGGCCCAAGTATTACTACGTGTATTCCGTATGTATTTGCGTAGTTGTCAGCTGGCCTGTACTGTACTAATCCCTTTGCTTCTCCCTCTGCTTCTTCTGCTCGAAAAACCCCGAACCTGAAAATTCAAACCAAAACTCATTTTCCACAGGGTAAATGGCTCTGGCGATTTCCCATGCTTTTCTCTGCCCCAAATTGCAATTTTCCCAAAGGAATTTCCGCCCTAAAGTCCCGGAGTTGAGGCTGCCACCCTCTTTCGTCAGGTAATTCGCTCACTCTGGTTGGTTGGTGAGAAAATTGAGAATAGGGTTTTGTTCCGTAGAAAGTTTCGTGTTCGTGATACGAATGCTGGGTCTTTTTTTTTTTTTGATTTGTTTTGCAAATATATTTATAATTATTTATGCTTGAAAATGTATAGATATAGCAACAGGGTGTTAAACTTATCATGTTTCTAGAACAATTCCACAGAATACAAGGGTAATTTGTGCGGCTGCGTCTGCGGCTGGAAGTTCTAATCCGGACGGTGATTTGAATCCATATGAGGTAATTTCAGCTTGTAAATTATGGACCTTTGAAATTAATGTTGCAGCAAGTGTTTGACTGACTGGTTGGGTACATGTTTCTACTTCTCTGTTTATTTGTGATTTACTAATTCTCGTTTATCTCACAGGTTCTCGGTGTGAGCCCAATTGAGGGATTTGACATGATCAAGGCAGCGTATACGAAAAAACACAAGGAGGCCGTGAGGAGCGGTGATGAAGCAACTGCTGCTAGAGTACGCTTCAAAACTCTCTTTTTGCTCTTTTAAATATTTGGTGGGAACGAGCTTGTGAACAATATTCTTATAACCACGTAATCATTTATGTAGCTGGAGAAAGCATATGACAAAGTCATGATGGCACAGCTAACTAATAGGAAGAAAGGTGTAACCTTTGGTTCCTTCAAGGTACATGCAAGCGATACTTTTATATCTTGTTCTTATTGAGAGTCTGCTGAGTGGACTTTATTCGTCAAAAGAGACAGAAAGTGGAAGTTGAAAAATGATGTCATGTGGTTTTCTTATGCATGAATTATTGTAATTGTTGTCATATTCTATAGCGTTGCAGTGTATAAGCTTTGTACGGTACTATGGAGGAATAACTACCAACTTGTCTAACAACTTGGAGAATCCATGGAGGATTTACTCTGGATGTGTTATGCTTCCAGGGATAACACTTTTTAAGGGAGCTGCATATAGGAATAACGAGGAACCTGAATCTTGAACAGATGCCAAATACCAAGCACAAATATTGTTTTAGAGATAATTAAAGTAGTGGAATGGGAAGAAACATGGGCGTCTTTATAATTTGCAGAAGCATGTACTATATACCTCTTACTCTGATTTGGGTTTAGATAGAATTGATTGATATCATCATTGTTAGTTGTTACTGGTAAGATCAAAGTTAGGAATGAATAGTTGTCATATCATAATACAACAGTCAAGAATCTAGTCTATGAATTTTTCATTGAAAACTGCTATAAGAACTCATATTTTTTCCTTCTTTCAGGTATCACCCGTTGTGTAAATTAGCGCATTTGAATTTGTTTCCATTTGGGTGCTTTGTGTAAATGGCCCTTAAAGTTGTTTTTACATACTTCTAGATTTTGTCTTTGTGATAATTGGACTTTCAGATTGATTAGTTATCCGCCGTAACCTGTCAAAAAAGCTGATTATCATCCTTTCTTATTACCTCCTTGTACTAATTATTCCTCTTATTTTATTTTTGACTTGCAGGTTTCAAAGGACATCAAATATGCAGATAAGCAACCAATTGTACCATGGGGGCCTAGGTTTGTCTACGCATCACGTGACTATTACCGATAATTAGCATAGGAAAATAGTGCTGCTGAGAAGATGTATATTAGTGGCTGCTGATTTTGATACTTTTTAAAGCATGTAATCTTTTTATATGAAGAGTATGAGTAGGTTGGATTACCTTAATAGTTACTTGTGGAAAAATTATTGCTTACACATGCCTACTTCGCTAGAGGCTGGTACTTTTGCATTGCAGATTTTACTCTTTGCTTCATTTAATAAATTGCATGCTTAAAAACATGAACTTCTTATGAGCTCTCAATATGGAAAATGATACAAATATTCATAATTTTTTTTTTTCATTCTGATTTGGATTTTTTTGGAAACGTGATAGTGCATGCCGTTTATCAATTAAAATCTGAAACCAGCTCTCGTTTCTTTCCTCCAAGTTTGATATGTTGGCTATTTTCAGAGGATATATGTAGTCTACGTGGTGGCACTTTATGCTCTGATCTTTTGACTTCTATTTGCTTACAGGTTCACCAAGTCTACTGTACAAGATATGCGCATCAACCTGGCAATATCTGCTGTATTTGTAAGTTCTAGGGAATGATTGATTATGTATGATTCTATTCTTTATCGTTTTG